CAGCYGAAGCAGGGCTCCTGCAGGACACAGCATGGAGGCCGCTCCTCTCCATAGGTGAGGAGCTGTACTGAGTCAAGCTCAATGTCTTTCGTGCAGCCTAAGTTGACTTTAGGCGGCCACAGCAGCTTAATTATAAGTCCTAAGTTTGTTATGCGCCACTTGTACTACAGAGCTGCTTGGAAATGTGCTTAGAAAGCATTTTTGTTCCTTTTTACAGCTTGCTAGAGGGTTTGGTTTTTAGCATGTTTTCTACTCAAAACCCTTGCAAGTTTCTTTTTCAAAATCTGGACACTGCCAGACTCTCTGAAACCAGTGTTCAGTTCTAGTTGGKCTAGGATTCACCTGAGACATCACCAGGGCCTGCATTTGACACGCAGGAGGCTCCAGAAAACACGTAGCACGCTGTATTTCAAAAGCAGTCACCAGAGTCTCCGCTCACAGGCTGATCTGAGCAGTTCTGAGCACCCGAGGTGGGGAAGAGGAGGCCGCCTGCGGGAGAGGCCTCGGCTCCGTCTCGCTGCTCGCCCCGGCACCGCTGCGGCTGCCGCTGGCTGCGTCCTCAGCATCACCAGAAAGGTGCTTAACGCACAGGTGCCCGTTGGCAGAAGTCGTTTTTTCCTAACAAGAATGCAGTTCAGAAGTAGTCACTTGCAGGAGCATGAAATGCAAATACTCCTGTGCGCAGCAAAAATTTAAGATGTTCTAAATTTCATTTTAAGCTTCCTATTACCGTATTACTACCTCTTTATTTTATTTTGGCTCCCAGTCAGTTTGTTTTCCTCATCTGTTTTGTGCAAAAAGAGGAGTTTGCAAGGGGTGAATCTTACATCTGTGTCTAAAGTTAAAATAAAGTGGCTAGATAAATGTCATTTCAGTGGCAGTGACCTTGTGTTGAGCCCAAAGCCTAAAAGCCACAATTTTTCTCGTCAGGAAATTGGGAAGGTTCAACATTCATAGCCCATCTATAAGCACTTTAGCTCTCCCCGCTCCCATATTTTGGTTAATAAATGTCAATACTATTTTATTAAACCGTGCAGCATGTTTTAGGTATTTCCAACTGCTTTATCTGAGCTTCTTGTACTTAAATAGCAACATCTGCAGTTACAGAGCTAAAACAGCCTTTATTTCCCAATTGTATCTGGATTTGGTTTGATGCCAAATGGTAAATACCTTTTCACCCCCTTGAAGAGGGGTTTTATCTTAAGCACATCCTACAGGTAGCAGGGAAAGCTGAGACTTAACACTGTTAAAAAAGCTGTGAAATTTCAGTGCTTAATGCACAGCAGTTGTTAAAATTGGGTATAGTCAGTGTCAAAATATAAGCACTTCTTAAGGTATTACAGCTATTCTTGAATTGTCCAATATATTTTCACGGTCTTAAAAATTACTTTTGGTAATAGCAGTTTTAAGGTGCTGCTTGGCGTGGTGTCCTATCTGGATGTGTTTTGCAGGGGTTTCAGGCACAAATATGAGTTTAAAGAGACCCTCGCAGCTCCGAAGCAGCCGCTGGAACTGCAGGTCGTTTCAGTCTGAGCGAGTGTTGCCCACAAGACAGATGGTGCTGCTGTTTTTCCAAAGCAGTTAAAGGAAAATAGCATTGCGTAGACTTGCAGAGCAATTTCCCCATAGCAAACCCTTTATATAGACATTATATCTGTCCAGAAAAGTTAGGGGAGAAATAAAGTGTTGAAGTAAATCTGTTGTTTAGGTTGCACGTTTGCTACGGCTTAAATTTTTCTGAGGCTGTAGGAACAAGAGCTCATAATAATACTCTTATTTAGTGCRTGTCCTTTTTGTACTTGGCTGTCCATCAGCCTCAGCTTTCCTTGGCTGGGAAACCAAGCCCCAGAATAGCCCCAGTCAGTTGATTTTGCAGTTCGGTCCCAATCCTTCCCGTGCAGCCTTGAGTCTCACGCTGAGAAGTTCAGCGCGGTYGCCTTGCCTGTTGAATGGAAGCAATCCTGCTCCATTTGGAATGGACCAGGCGTGRTCTGGGATGAAATTCCCCCTCGTTTCTCCTTGGCTTCTGCAGTTGGCGTCGGGAAGTGCTCCAAGGAGCCCGTGAAAGCCCCTCTCACGGCCTTGGCAGGACGGAGCGGCTGAGGGGTGCATCGGTGAGGGCAAAGGCAGTGCCAAGCGTGCCCGAAACGGCCCAGCTGGGGCTCTGAATTCACTGGGAAACAAGGAAGGGCCTTTTCTTCCCTGAAAGTGGCTTAGTCACTCGGGTGGCTTCAGTGTGGRGGTCTTTACAGCTGTCTATGAGGAACCCCGGGCTGCAAAGGGCCACTTTTAGAGACTTGTTCATGGAGGGGTGCTCTGGATGCTTTTTGCATAAACTGTGGGTGTTATCTGAGTAATTAAGACTAATTGGGCTGTTYTTCACACACGTCTTGAACCAGAAGTGTGCATTTCCCAGCCGCGAGGCTTTGTGACCTGGGCCGGCTGTCATCTCCGTTCCGGGCTCGTGTCTCCCGCGCGACGTCTCTCCAGCTTCGCTCCCCAGCGGGTCTCTTGTGTGGCACGTGCACGGCCTGGCTGGGGTTTCCAGCCGGCGAGGGGGCRAAATCACGGACCTGCTCTTCATGAAAGCCCCTCTCCTTGAGCTGCTGGTGGTGTCGGAGCGTTAGCAGGGCTCGGGTTCGCGGGCTGCGCTGCCCTTAGCCGGCCATCCGAGTCCTGTGCCACCAATCTGAGTGCCTAACAGCTYCAAAAGACACAGGCTCCAAATTGCTTGTGGGTTTTTATCACCTCTCTCACCAATTCCTTTGTTTCTTTCCCTCTCCCAGTGGAGTTGGAAATGCTCAGAATTAACCAACCTTGCCATAAAGCTTAAGGAGAAAAGGCCAGGTTATGTGCTGGCCAGGGAATGATGCTGGTGAAACCACAGAGAGTCAATGCCATGTTTTCCACCCTCACCTCACAGGTTTTCATGTTGGAAATGAAATATTGGGCTGGTTCTTTGTAGGGCAGCTTCCCCCAAAAGTCTGAACAAGGTTCTTCGCTGTCAGCATTTGTGGTGGTGTCACTTGATCATGGGTTTGATGTTACAGGTGGCATCCCTGAGGCAACAGTAGCATATTCAGTAATTTTTGGACAACAAATACCCATCCAAAGGTGTACTTCCTTGGAACTGCTGTCACTGGATAGCTGCTGCATTTTGCAGTGTGGGAGGTGGCTCAGGAGTGACGTTGGTCTCGCCCAGCATTATGTGAAGAGGGAAAGGGGGAGGAGAAGTCTAGAATATTTCAAGGAAGCAGAAGGGGATGTTTTGAGGAGCACTAGCAGGCCATAGAAAGGGCCCAGGTAAGGAAACGTCCTGTGGCCTGTACCGTTTGCCTTGACCCGGGGCACGATGACTTAGTAGCCAAGCCGATGGCTGAGCAGGCACCTGCTAATTTGAAGCTACTGGTGGCTTCAGCCCTATTCCTTCCTCGTCGGAGACTCTTTGGGATGAAGGGAGCTTTACAAAGCTGCAGGGCTGTTCTTGGCAGTGAACAAGCTGAGGATTTTCCCCTAATCCTCTTTCTATATATATCAGATAAATTGGCTTTAGGGCCTACCAGCGTGCAGAATACAAGTGGACGAGGGTGCCTGTAGTGCTGGTGCTCAGCGAAACCTGTGCCTGTGGGTGAAGGTCAGGAACAGGCAGCAGCGGAATTAGGGTGCAGAGCCTCCCGCCCCGCTCAGCAGCCGCCTGTCACTGCTGCTCTCGCAGCGGTGCTCGAGCTGAAGGAGGAGGCCGAGCGCGCTCACCTCCTGGTGTCGGCAGCCCTTGGGTAGCGAACGGTTCCTTGGCAAGGCACCTCTGGTGCCGCCGTTGGCTGTGGTTGCTCCGGTGGGAGACCGGACAGAAGGGAACACMCGTGGAATTTTCCCCATACGTGCCCAAAAGGCCGTTGTGGGAAGGCAAGCACTGAGAAAAGCTGCTTCTCAGGAGAAGTCCAGGGTGTCCTTCACGTAAGGCCTGTGTCACCCCTGCAGTTAAAAAGTTGCCCCTCAGTTGGGCTCTCAGGTAAGTGCATTGCTGTGTGGTGGCTGCATCCCAGCCAGGAAGAGAAACTTCCCTCAAGTCGCTAGTTGTGGAGTTGGAGGAGATCGCRATAAATGTGGGTTCTGTTTTAATCATTGATTCATTTGTTTTGGAGACCTTGCTGCAGCCCGCCATGCGCCGCGGTGCAATTGCTGCCGTGGAATTGCACCTGCCCCCCACGCTTGTCCCGCTGCTCCCGAGGGCCCYGGTGACTCTGCCCGCTCTGCCTGTACTGCCTCTCGTGCCTGCGACGCTCTCCTTTAAGCTCAACAACCAAATCTGTCTTATTTTCTTTCGTTACTCTGCTCTGCTTCCATTGACGGCTCTAAACTTTTGACTCCAGACTGGCAATATGAGGGTAAGATGGCAAAACCGGAACTTCCTGAGCATTGCTCGTCTGTTTTGAGTTCCATGTCTGTTTGTTTTCCCCCTTGAAATGCTGTGAACGTGCTGCTTGCTCCCTTTAGCTAGACCCTGTTAGATGGGAGGCGATGCTTTGCTTTGGTTTTGAAGCTTTGCGTCACACCTCTGTCACTGCTTTGGGTTCACTTGCCCTCATCTTATCTCTGCCCCAGAGGGCTTGCGCTCCCCTGTGGTGGCAAGGGGATTAGATGGCCACCACACCATCTTCTGTCCCTATGTGTCCTGGTGCCGTGGAGAGTGAGGCTCACCTAAGAGGCACTGTGTTAAGATTATGCTCCTTAGGTTTTGGGTTTAGCCCTGGATCAGCATCTGGGCTCTGCAGTCCTTTCATTGCATAGTCTCCTTGGCTTTATGAGGTTCTGGCAGAGGAAAGGAGGAGGGAACAGCTCAGATCTTGATCCTCTATCCGTGTAAACTAGCCTGCAGTTGTAGCCTATACCCTATTTAAGCACCGCGTGTCTCCAGGACAGTAGCTTGCTTGAAGAGACAGAGCCACGTAAGACCCTTCCTTTGGCATGAGGCCTGACTTGTCTTCTCCTCTTTATAGACTGCAAGTTGGCCAGGACGGGTCCTCCAGCCACAATAGTCCCCATCGACGAGGAGAGCCGGAACGGTGAGTGAGCCGCACTCGGTGCCRCCGGCTGCTCCGCGGTGTCCGTCGYCCTCGTGCCGAGCCTGACGTGGCGCTGGTGCCGCGCAGCAGGGAGCCTTCCTCTCTGCTTCCCTTCACCATCCTCGGCAAGTGATGCTGCCAGTCGCGGTGCCCAAGGTCAGATGCGGGGGGATAACTGGGGTGTCGCGGCCACTGCTGAGGTGGGCGCCTACTGGCAGAAAAACTTGGTTTTCCTAGTGCTTAATCTGGCACTCGCACTCAATAACTCTTCTTTTAGGGAGATCTGAATGCCAATAAAAGTRATTTGTGCAGTATTAGGTTTTAGAAAGGAAATGGGAAAACGGTAAGTAAATTAGTGACTCTAGGTGGCAGCTCGTGTCATCTTGTGTGCAATTATCAACTTGGGTCAATACCATGAGCAGTCAGTTCTCCTTTATACACCTTCTCTAAAGGTCTGTCTTTAGTTTCCCTGCATTGAATGGTGCTCCTCAAAGTTGCGTCTTTCCCAAATCATGTTGGCTGGAGAGCAGCAAAGGGTTTGTTTTGATTTTTTTTTTTTT